GAAGATAAAGGTCTAAACTTTTGTGCTTGGTTTAAACTTTGAAGGGCTTGTGCCATGCATTTCATTGCTGATTGGTTTGTGCTTTATACCTGAGTCACCCAGATGGCTGGTAAGTATTACATTAGTATATATGATCAAAAGAGCTTTGTCTTTTAGGAGAGGAAGATAAAAATGTAATTAATAAACTGAAAATTATTGTTTCCAGGCAAAGGTTGGCCAAGAAAAGGAATTTCAAGCAGCTTTAAGGAGACTTAGGGGAAAAGATGTTGATATCTCTTATGAAGCTTCTGAAATTCTGGTACTTTCCAAGCTCTTATAACTGTTTGAACCTTTGTAAATAAAATTTTTTAGTAAGTGTGAGACATTCCAGGGGTTGATTAACTGTTCTGTGTTCTGTAACAGGAATATATTGAAACTCTTCAAAGCCTTCCCAAGACCCAGTTTCTAGATTTGTTCCAAACCAAACACGTGCGCTCTGTAGTTGTAAGGAACTCTCTCATTTCAAGGATATTTAACCACGGGTATGCAACAATTAAAAGGATTCTAATTATATTTTACAATTCAGATTGGGGTAGGGCTAATGGTATGTCAACAACTTGTTGGAATCAATGGTATCGGATTCTACACGGCAGAGACTTTCGTAGCAGCTGGTAAACGAAAACTTATGAGCTGATTTTAATACCCATAAAAGGGGAAAATAAGAGAAAGATGAAAATTCATACTTATCATGTATAACTTGATTTGCAGGTTTTTCTTCAGGCAAAATTGGCACCATAGCCTACGCTTTTACTCAGGTTGTTGATCTTTTCCTTTACTGATTTCCTGAACATCAATCATATAACTATATTTCTGTATAAACTCAAGTCTTCTGATAATGAATGATAGGTTCCGTTGACTGTGGTTGGAGCCATTTTGATGGATAAGTCTGGTAGAAGACCACTCATCATGGTAAATCTAATTTCAAGTTTTCTTTTTCATTCATCATCTTATAAAGCAAAGTGAAGTAGGAGCTTTGCTTGCGTTACAAACGTGCTCATATTCATGCATTTTGCAGATTTCTGCAGCTGGGACATTCTTAGGCTCCTTTATGACAGGAGCTGCTTTCTTTCTCAAGGCAAGTCTTCAGTATTATATTATGCACAAATATTAGATATAGCATTTATGAGTTTCCAAAAAAAATTTCCATGAATCATACTTTCATTAGAGAATCTAACGGCAAATACGTATGAAACCTCACCAAAGTCTGGTCCTTATCAGCTAGGTTTAGTGTTTGAGCCTCAAATCTGAACTTGTGCTATCTGATTCCATTGAACAGGGTCACAGCTTACTGCTTGGGTCGGTACCAATATTAGCTGTCGGTGGCATACTGGTAAGTCTACTTCTGCACCTACTGCTAGTTACCGTACATATTTTATAATCTGAAGGCATTTGGTTAACTGGCAAGCGAACTATGAAATCTATGAACTCAATCTTGACCCTCTTTGTAACCAGATCTATGTAGCAGCATTCTCCATTGGCTTGGGACCGGTTCCTTGGGTGATAATGTCTGAGGTATGTATCCCTTGACACAAGCACCTTGAAGCTTTTATTTTCTATAAATCATAATGAGGAAAAGATAAACAGAGGGAAGCCCAGGAAAATTATTCTAATACTAGTCTTCATTTGGCAGGTCTTTCCCATACATGTGAAGGGAACTGCTGGAAGCTTGGTGGTTTTGGTGAACTGGTTGGGAGCTTGGTTGGTTTCATACACATTCAACTTCCTCATGAGTTGGAGTTCTCCTGGTAAGCACAAACTGCAACAAACTCAGTTTGATATAGCTTTGTTATATTGATCTTGTGAGGTTTGTATAATGTTATCAGAGCTAATAATATGGATTGACTCTACAGATTGTGGCGGGTACATGTTGTCATTTTACTAATTAGACAACATGTACCCGTCAACTTAGTGATACCTCTAACTCTTATATCACATCAATATTTTTGATTTAAAATAAATAAAATTTATAATAAACTGTATTTCTGACAATCTGTGGATAGTACAACTTATTTCTTAGACTCTATGAAATGCAAGAAAAATATGTATAAGCGTAAAAAAAACATGTAAAAATTGATTGCCTATCTAGTTTATTTTGTAACTTATGCTTCATTTTCCTTTGTTCAGGTACTTTATTTCTGTATGCTGGCTGTTCCCTCTTGACCATTCTATTTGTTGCAAAGTTAGTCCCAGAAACCAAAGGCAAAACTCTAGAAGAGATTCAGGGATGCATCAATTCATAAAGGAAAATGACTAATTAAGAAAGATTTGGATGGGTAAATTCAGGACTTTAGTGTCTTAACTATCTCTGTCTTGTTGAATTTTGACGGTGGACACTCAAGGCATAAAGAAGGATATCGCCATGGCAGAAAGATACTGTCCAGTGATCACAGGATCATGTATCAAATTCTTTGAGCTTCATTTGATAAAGATGGAGGAAAGCTTCATATAGGCTAGGAACCCAGAAAATCATAAAATGCAGCTACCTTCAGGGCACATGTGAGTTGTGGATGAATTTCATTGATGTAATAATGAGTGACAAGTTACTTGAATTGAATGTATTCATTTTATCATATTAGTTTATTATTAAGATTCTTTTTTTCATGGGCAACTCATAGTGCGCATGTCTCTCTCTGTCTGTATATATCTATATAGTATTTATTACTCTTATGATCTTATATACAAGTCATTTGTAATATGTTTCACTTTAAACCTTAATAAATCTGACTTAAAATTCAACAATTTTTCCAACTTTAACTCATTTAATATAGACCCTTTCTAAAAAAATAACAATTTCTTCAATAATAAATAAAAGGTAAAACAATACATTTATGTTCAAAATTTAATTATATGATTTATAAATAAGGAAAAAAAAATCTTCTATCTATTTTATAAATAGAATCAAAAGAGTATTATGCTAATAAGGTTGACAAATACACAGACAATCCCGTAGAATGAGGCTAAGATAACCAAATAAGAGAAAAATAAAGGTAAAAAAAAAGTGTTTGGATTCATACTAAAAACTATGGTTTTTGTTACTTTCTTTTTTTTTTTTTAAATTTAATCAAGGGTTTCTCCTTTCGAAGTTTAAAGAATAAAAGATTTTCATCTCTAGTACGCTTCCAAAGATTCGAATTTCTGTTCTTCTTCTTACAAGAATGAAACCGTTTATTACCTCAACCAACTGCTCGTTACTTTTTATTGCTTTCTAACATAAAGGCAAACACATTAAATCATTAAAAAAAAAACATTTGTGGTTACATTCTAATAGATAATCAGGATCCGATGTCTTGCATTACTGGGGTAAGGTACGAAAACCTTATATATTCTTTCTTGCTTCATAAGATTATTCTTACCTTCAAGAGATTTTAATTCTATTTATTTTTTTATTAGCTAGTATTTTAAAATTTTTCAAAAAATATACCTATTTCTTGAGCTCTCTAAACGAATTTGTCATTAAGTTGTCTTTTGCAGCACCTATTCAGTAGATTTTGTCCCCTCTATCATGGAAATATGATTATATATTTAGTAAATGATTTACCATTTTTTTGTTTTTTCCCCCCTCTCATTAAATATGGTATATTTAGCTTGTTTGATTGGTCCCTCAAAATTCGAACAAGGGAATGGGATGAATTTTGATTTGGAAAAGATATTAACGTAAGAGGATTAGGATATGACTGCATATAAAGCCTATCTTATGATGACCCTTATCTTTTTCAAAATGCCTTGTACGTTATCAATTTTGTGATGTTAAAGTAATTAATCAAATTGCTCCCAACAAGATTAGTCTCAAACTCAAAATAGCTTGAAAATATTTTGAGTTATATGAAAAAAATTAATTAGATTTTTTTTTGCCAAAAGTAATTAATTAGATTTATGCAATGCATGTGGTCATATCGTAAATAGAAAATGCACAATTTATAATCTGTAAATGCGACTTTATGATATTTTATGTGTTTGTAGATAGGTATGGATTTAATAAATTCTTTTATGAAAAGCAAATTCAAATTAAGTCAAAATCTGCCGATTACGAGCACTCAAATTAAAATAAAATTCCAAGGTAAAAACAATTAAAATAAAACTAACATTACATATGTCCCTAAATCTTAGTTAAAGATGAGGTTGCATTTGATCCTCCATGAGAGTGATGGGTACATGAGTTGTTTTTATTGTGAGAAGGATAAAAAAATTAAAATGAAATAAAAAGAAGCATATTTGGGACTCTTCCGGTCTTTAATATAAGATCTATTTAACTGATTTGATTAAATTAAGAAAGTTAGGTAAGTTAGTTAATTATAAGAAATATAACATGTTTTTCTTAAAATACCATAATCATCTTCCTTAATATCCTCCATCCCTTTTCTACTTGATTATGATTGAAGGAGTATCTATAGGAGTAATTTAGAAAAAAAATGATAAATCTAAGAAATATGTCTTATATTTAGAATTAAAATCAATTCAATAATTAGATCATATATTAAAGACCAGAGAAGTAATAAATATGTGATAAAAATGAATGTAATTAACAAAAACTTCTATAACAAGTAATGACAAATTCCTGTAGATATTCGAATTTTTTGTGGTTATATTTTTTTCCAAGAAAAAATTTGGCTTGACATGATGGATTTAATTTTATTTTTTTTAACTAATTTACTAATAATTCATTTCTTTATTTTTTCCCTTTGTTTTTTTTTTTTACCTTTGTTTTTTTTTTACCTTTATTTTCCCCTGTGCTGAAGCTCTTCATTTTGCTGTGCTCGTTGTTCACAACATCCTCATCGCTTGGCGCGTGCCACGTTTTCCTTAAACCATCGATGACGTACGGACGTATGGTGGCCTTAAAATTGTGGAGGTAGCCTCGTCGGTGTTTTTTTTTTTTTTTTTTATTCTGTTATAAAAAAAAAATACATTTTCGTTTTTCACAAAACCAATCCTATAATTATTAATTTCCTTGCGAAGAAAAATCACAGGATGAAATGAAGAGACTTTGACGATTCGCCTGTTCCTTTATTCATTCTACATAAGAGGCGCTTTGAAAATTGAGAACGTGAAACTGAGTAATTCTGGAGACGGAGTTAGGATATCTGAATGGTGGCTGGAGCTTGGAATTCCAAGGATTGCGGATTCGAATCAGAAGTAAGCCTTAGTCTTTTCTCAGACTCGGTCGGTATTTTTCCATGTCCAGTTTAGAAAATATTGTACGTATGTGCTGAAACTGTTCCATATGCTGGAGTGATCAGGATTTGAGCTTCACTACGTTCACAATCTTTTGATGGCTTTATGATGCACTTTAACTGCCCAGAATTGTGTTTAGGTTCACTTTTTTTTTCCCCCTTCATCTACAAAATCTCGCCTGATCAGTGTGGTAGTTGAGTTTTCGAGCTGGATGACTCATGCACGGGACCAACGGTGAAGTTCAATTTACATTTTTGTTGTCCTCAAATTGTTCGCGTTATCCAAAATGGAATTTCGAATACGTAGCAAGATGAGGTTATTCTTGTGTTAGATGGATGTCGGTGACAACTGTGGGAATCATACTCTATACTGCTAACTCTCTCTTATGGTGTACAAGGGGTTCTCAATTAGCATTTTAATTTTAGTGTGTGTGTGTGTGTGGGTTTATACAACTCAAAGTGGCAAAGTAATCTAATTACCTTGGGTTTCCCCTTTAAGCGACATATGTGGGTTCTGCATGTTTACGTATGTTTTGATTCTGCTGCGAGGGTCTAATACATGATTCTGTTTGCAGGTTGTAGACAGAAAGGAGCAAACACTAAACAATGAGTAGGTTCGGCAAAGAGATAGGTACTTGTGATGATGGTACTGTCAGTAATGAATCTTCTGCTAGTGGGTCAGCTAGAGAAAGAACGGTTTATCTTGATCATGAAATTGCACAACTCACTAAACTTAGGTCAAGCGCCCATAAACTTTTTGGGTGTGTTGAGCCTGGTAGGACGAGGTTGCCAGTATCAACTGTACGAATGTTAGCTGGCAGAGAAGCTAATTATTCTGGACTTGGGAGATTCTCATCAAGAGATGGTTGTCATGTTCTAAGCCGCTATTTGCCTACTAATGGTCCTTGGCTGGTGGATCGGATGGAAAGCCGTGCCTATGTTTCACAATTTTCTGCTGAAGGATCACTATTTATTGCTGGCTCTCAGGTTTTTACTGTCATTATTAGAGTAGTGGTTACTAGTTTTTGTACACACACTCACATATATGCATTATGAATCTTATGATGATTTTGTAAGATTGAAGATGTATGCTTTTATTGTCACTTAGGAATTTTGATTTTATCTCAAAATAATTCTTGCTTTAGAATTTCAACGAAGCACTAATTATTCTTTAGGGTATTTTAGTTAAATGTCAATACATTTTGCTATAATCTAGAATATTTAATAGATTTTTAATCCATATGTATAACCTTAAAAGACTATTATATTGAAACGGAGGTCATATTAGTGAAATAATTTACCTAAAAAATTGTATTTAACTTCGGGCTTTTTATACATTCTTCTCAAACAGGGAAGCCACATTAGGGTCTATGATGTTGACAGGGACTGGAAGGTAGTGAAGGACATTTCTGCTAGAAACCTGAGGTGGACGATTACTGATACATCTCTTTCACCAGATCAATGCTACCTTGTAAGTTTGAGTTGATTGTCAAATATTATGATTATGTGCATTATTAGAATGGCCGATTCCCTCTTACTGATATGGACGACCAATGTTGAGTTGGTTGTCTAGCTGTACAGAAGTTTCAGCTGCTTATCCTTACTTTTTATCCCAACCAGCTAGCGTTAACTTCAATCTAATGTAATCGTTGCAGGTTTATGCTAGTATGTCTCCTGTTGTCCATATTGTGAATGTTGTCGGGTCTGCTACAGGACAATCAATAGCAAATGTTACGGTATGTCCAGGAACTGCTACTTTTAATGATAGTGTTTTCTATTTAGAGGCATTTGAAGATGTCACTTCCACAATTTTGTTCCCGGTTGTGTTTTTTCTATATAGTACTTGGAATTTATAAGTGCTGAAGTTTGTCAATAAAATCTACTAATGCAAGAAGTGAGCTAAGCAGATTGATATCTTTCACTCCTCGCTCATTTTGAGCACTTCAAACTTGAAAATAAATGAAACGGTTCAGTTCACCATCTGAAATGCTTTGCTACAAGTGATTGGGCATGCTCTTGCTCTGTCACTATAGGTCATTGACTGAGGTTTATCCAACTAAACAGGTAGGGAGCATTTTTAATATTTTCGTTTATAGCAGCTTAGCAATACCTCTTCTAATGAAGAAACATGCATTTTTTTGGGGGTTCAATTTTCAACAATAAAATGCATGTATAAGATTTATGTCAACTTTAGCACCAAGTTTCATTTAATTATTGTCTGCTTTATACTCAAAAGGTCATGTTTTGTTGCAGGAAATTCATAATAGTTTAGATTTATCTTCTGATGAAGATGATGACGAATTTGGGATTTTCTCTGTCAAGTTTTCTACGGATGGCCGAGAACTTGTTGCAGCTACTAGTGATTCCTCAATATGTGTTTATGATCTTCGAGCTGATAAGCTGAGCCTTAGAATTCCTGCCCACGTGGTATTATATAAACTATCCTATAATTAGTTTCTAGTAATGAATAATTCAATAACCCTGTTCAAAATTTGAAAGGTGTTAACTGATATTTGTCATGCTTCACAAACTCATTCTTTTTTTTTTTTTTTTTTGAGATAACACAAACTCATTCTTGAAGCTTACTAATTTGTTGCATCGTAGCAAAATAAAATTTTTTTCTTCAGTTAAGTCTTTGAAATGTCTGAAGTCCTAGAGAAGGAAATAAATAAATAAATGAAGTAAATAAATTGTAATGATGATCAAATGGTATTCTTTCCTCAAAGTACAATTAATTACTTTGCAATAGTTTTAGCCATAAGAGGCAAATGTTATTGTAGATATTTGGACTATCAAAGTCTCCTAAACCCTCGTATACTTTTCTGACCTATTATGTTGTCATTGTCTTGATGTTTTTTAAAACCTGAGTCTGATCATAACGTTGAGCCTTGTGAGGAAATATGAACTTGAATGCAACCAAATTTTGAGTCTGCTTACAAATCTTCTCAATCACTATTTCTGGTTTAGAGATTATTCGAATGTAAATGGTCAATTTTTTTAATTGCATTCTTGTGGCGCATAGCAGCTGAGATTTTTCTACTTCCCATCAGAGCACGTTGCTTACATATGAGATGCTTTTTTACATTGCAGTCTGATGTTAACACTGTCTGCTTCGCTGATGAATCTGGCCATCTTATATATTCTGGAAGTGATGATGGTTCCTGCAAGGTAAACCTTTTATTCTAGTCATGGGAATTTGGTTTGGTGATAGCCACATTTGTCTCTGTTGGCAGTAATGGTTTCTAGCATGCTTAGATGGCGGCAGGTGCAGCTCGTTGTAAAGCTGAAGTCCCAATTTCCTTTTTCATTTTTTTCCCCTCATTTTAGGAGTGTGTTGCTTCCTCCCTTATTTTCAGGGTCATCTTGTTATGAGAGAGGGCAATATATTTAATTGCAGCGCATTACATTATTACTTTCAAATGCATACATGATGAAATATCAGATCTTTGTGGGAAGTATGTTGATATTCTTTTACTGTTGTTTGGTTGAGGAGAATGGAGAGAAGAAATGGGAAGGAAAGTTTTTGATTTATAGATTTAAACAAGGGGAAGATCTAAATCAAACCTTCCCTTCCCTTCCTAACCCCAAGTCTTGTTTGTTGAAAATTTCTTTGATTGATTATATTCCTTTATGTCTTACATGGCTTAATACATGCTTTTGATGAATATTCATAAAGTAAGTCTAATTATCCTTTAATCTCTTTTTTAACCCTCCAAATGTTTCGCATCTAACTTTTTGGTGTTTTCTCTAGTTAAGATTTAGGAGTTGTACTAATAAAATTGGATTTCCTATTCGATATCCTATGTGAAATGCTATTCTTGGAAGACATGAGAAATGAGAAACAAACCTGCTCGCGTATAAATTAATATGATCTTAAATTGATATCCTGACTACCATAAGGCTCTTTCTGTAGGCAATCTCAAAGCAGCGTTGCTGGCCATTTGAAAAAAAGGATGCCAAATATTTTAATTTTTTGTTATCATGAAGGTCTTATAGAGTTGGTAAATTTCATGTTTAAGATTATTGTATATCTTTCCTCTTAATAATTTTGTGGAACTTTTAAATATTTGAGATGGATCTTTTTTAAGAAAATTGAGATCTTCTTTATAAGAATGAAACAAGTTTGTGTCATCCCCTGAGTTCTGATTTTTCAATGGGCCTGGATATCGAAATTATCAGTGAAACCAAGTGGAGCATCACTTATGTTTAAAAAAATAACACTGGGATAGTAATGTCTCATTAATTTTTCCTAACCTGTTTTATATATATATATATATATAATATATATTTTTCATGCTGATGCTGGTTACTTATGCAACACAGTCCCGGGCTTCTAGATGACGATGGGATTATAGGTGGATGGATTACCCCCAACAGGCAGAAAAATATAAAACATCCCCATGACCAGTCATTGGCAACATATAGAGGCCACTCAGTGTTGCGTACCTTAATCCGCTGCTACTTTTCACCATCGTACAGGTAATTTAGGGTTTCTTCATTATACAATTATTTAGGTTCTTAAATTGTATGACTTTTCATAAAATGGTACACTTTTTATTTTTTGTGAAAACAGAGGGAACCAATTCCATAGCTGTTAATTCCTTGACTTGGGGGGTGTTTGGATGAAACCAAACCATGGTTTGGAGAATAGCTTCTGGAAAATAGATTTTGTGAAAAGATGATTCTGATAAAGTGAGAGTATTTGGATAGTTGTTATCATAAGCACTTTTTACATGTGCAAATTACTAAAAAGGGCATAAGTTAAGTGAGGATTTCACCATCGTACAGGTAATTTAGGGTTTTCTTCATTATACAAATTATTTAGGTTCTTAAATTGTGTATGACTTTTCATAAAATGGTACACATTTTTATTTTTTGTGAAAACAGAGGGAACCAATTCCATAGCTGTTAATTCCTTGACTTGGGGGGTGTTTGGATGAAACCAAACCATGGTTTGGAGAATAGCTTCTGGAAAATAGATTTTGTGAAAAGATGATTCTGATAAAGTGAGAGTATTTGGATAGTTGTTATCATAAGCACTTTTTACATGTGCAAATTACTAAAAAGGGCATAAGTTAAGTTAATATGATAATTATATAAAGGATAGATTTTATAATATATTTTAATTTAAAGAAATAAAATTGTTAATAAAATAATTTTTACTAACATAATTAATAATATATAAGATAATGTAATTAATAAATAATTAATGTGTATATATATTTATAAATTATAAGATTAAATATGTTTATAGAAAAATGATTATTTTTTAAAATATGATTTTGGAAAACAGTAAAAGTAGTTTTACTTTAGATCTACAGTAAAAAGGAGGACGAAGGACGGAAGGCCGAATGATGAGTGAGAAAAGGGAATGAAATAATTGAGGGCTCTTTGTCATGTACCGCTGGCCCTTCTCTGCAGAGTCAAATTGCAGCCAAAAAGCGGGGGGAAAAAAAAAAAAGCTTCATCCGAAACCATGGTTTTGGGCTGCAGAGTCAAATTTCAGCCAAAAAAGGGGGGGATGCTTCATCCAAAACCATGGTTTCGGATAATTTGTACCTGTTTGGATGACTTTTTCCTCAAACTATGGTTTGGGTCCTCAAACTATGGTTTGGCCTGATATCATTATATTTCGGTGGTTGCTAGGATGTGGGGGTATGTTGAAATGTTATCTCTGAAGTTTAGATTTAGATGACTGCCAAAGAATTCTTTTGTGTTTGGATTAAAAAAAATAATCCGGCTGGTAGTTTTCCAGAAGTTTGGTCGAAAGCCCTGGACGCTGCTAAAATCTGAATGAAATTATTCTAAGTTCCTGACTTTTGATGAAATTTACTTATCCTTTTTAACTTTCAATATGATGTTTTAGATTTGCCGTTTTATTCTTTTTTGTTCTGGTTATCAACGGATTGACATATATCAATTTGCATTTGAGCTCTGCCTTCTTATGAAATTTAGACTATTTGGTTTCTTTGTCGTGAGATTGCATCTTCTCTTTTATGTGATAATGCGAATCATATGAATCAATAATTCTTTTTGCAGCACTGGACAAAAATACATTTACACTGGGTCCAGCGATGGCTCTGTTTATATCTATGACCTGGTGAGAGCAGAACTTCTCTTACAAGATGGCTTTATTATTTGTGTTCAGGTCTAGGAAAATTCCATGTCCCTAAATGTACTAATCCTCTCTGATTGGTGGTGACTGACCACTGGATGAAACAACCAAATTAATCTGATGCATTATATTAATTGAGGAAAAATCCTGTCATGTTTAAATGTATAGGTGACCTGTCTGGGAGTTAATAATATATTATTGAATGACAAAATTCAACTTCACTGGGGATTAATAGCTATACCAGTGGCAAATTGCCAATTAGGGAGGCTACAGTTACATTGTCCACTAAGAAAGCATGGACATTTGATATAAAGATGGTTCACTATGAACGTAGTATAGTGACAGAGGAAAAATATGCATGTTCAAGCATAAATTAAAAATATGCAAGGTGACATGCCAAATTATGTCTGTTTATGTATAAATATAGTATTATGTCATGTCTGATAACCATTTCAGACAAATCCATGTTCTGTTTTTGAAATGACAGTGCGTCAGAATCTTAGCATATGTGTATCTGCCTATAAATTACCTGGTACAAGTGGCTTGATTGTAACTGGGATGTTTCTTTGTAGGTGAGCGGAGCTCAAGTTGCAAAACTTGACCATCACGAAGGACCTGTGAGAGATTGTAGTTGGCACCCTGTGTACCCAATGTTGATCAGTTCCTCCTGGGATGGTGACATAGTCAGGTGGGAATTTCCAGGGCGTGGCGAACCAATCGCTCGACCGAACAGAAGAGCCTTAGCAGGTCAATTACAATCTCGGCGTCGGAGAAGGAACTTTTTTAACATCTAGCTTATGATCTCTGTCCATACATATGAGCTCTAGCCCACCAGCAGCTCATGGAAATTCTATGTTTTTTACAGGAAGAGGCAGCAGAATTGCATTGCATGCCTTGCTTGCTCAAGCCTATTCTATTCCTAGATGATGTTTGTATGGGTGTATAAGGCCTCGGAAGATGTAAATCTAGTTTTTCATTTGTCATTTATGTTCTTTAAAGCCTAATGCCTATAACTGCAATTGAGCTTTTCCCGGTATCTACTTGTGAAGGCTTTCTATGATTCTGTACAGGAGTGCCATCAAACAAAAGAACAGGCTACCAGTGTAACCTAATAGATAATAATATGAAGTTGTCATAGGTTTATATTTCCCAAGTGGCTCCCCAGTTTGGAAAGTTTAATGCCGGTGTAAATTTCATAGGAGAATCTTATCTTTCCGAGGTAGATTCAAAATTTCATATATTTAAATATCAGACGAGGTACTGGATTCTTTTGGGGTTTGGATATATAGATGGGTAATGGGTTGCATTGTTCATAATTTATCAATGCTGCCTATAAAGATATTGATTGATTTTATCCCCATCGGAGAGGTTTTTTGGGCCATGTCCAAGAGGTTCAGTTATGGGCCTAATCTCGCCTGATAAATGGGCCTCGGCCCATATAGCTCGGAGTCCACCAAGGCCATCAATGCAGTCTGATTGACCGAAACACTTAGAATGTTTGGTGATATTTCAACTCTGTCAAACTTCTTAACAAACAACAAAAAAAAACTGTCAAACTACCCATCATCCGTAGGTTCGGTAATAAGAACCGCACCTTCTTTCTCAAAAGAGATGGGAATATATTGTAGGTTCACTCAACCTAACATTAGTATCCTTTAAGAGGAGCTATTCAAACGCCCTACTTTTGACCGGGGTTAAGGTGGGACCCTGCCTAAAATTTATGTATAACAAAAAAAAAAAAAAACTCTATTGAACTAATGACAATTGGATCCATCTTTTGGAATTTCACATAACGAATAGTTGGCAACAAATTTTAAATGCTGATTTATTATTTTCATGTTTTTAAATATGTTTAGTAATTATTTGTAAATTGAAAAAAAAATACAAAGAAAGTTATCCATGACAAGAATTCGAGAATATTTATTAGTGGGAATTAAAAAATATATATATATAGAACTAGGCACTAAAAAAATGAATGATTCTGATCAAACGCATTTATAGTAAGTTATATATTCAAATATTCCGATACGTATTTATATATACGAATGGTGCGACTTGGTTTTCAAGTTCACCAAATTTCACATTTAATTAAGAGATGAAAGTACGATCAGGAATAAATACTAAAACTGACTAATTATACACGTCATTTATTTCACTTGCATATCTTTTTAAAACTTTTATTTGACTCAACTTATCTTTATAAATATTACCCAAAAAATTATATTTATAAATACTTTATTCGATCCTAAATATAAAAAATAGTTAAAAGATTAAAAATAAATAAATGGCTCTAGTCAAATGCTTTACTACGTGCTTAATAAGAATAGTTCAAAAAAAAAATTATAAATTTAAGAAACATAAAATTTTAATTAAGTTTAGAATTAAAATAAATCCCTCCATGATCTTATACATTTACAATCAAAGTTAGCTTTAAGTAGCTTTTTGTAATTTATCTAGGCGAATTTAAGGGTCTATTTGGCTCAATGAGAGGAAGGGGAGTGGAAGGATTTTAATATTATCTTGTTTGGATTTATAAAAAAAAAAGAGGAAAGGGGAGGAGTTTTAATATTACCTTGTTTGGTTCATGAGGGGAAGGGAGCAAAAAATATTTTAACATGGACAATTTTGCTTTTATTTTATTTGATATATGGGTATAATGGTCATCGCATGACAAAATATGAGCATAATGGTCACAACATGATAAAATATTGCCATTTTCTTCCAAATTCTCCTAATTTTGGAGGGGAGGTTGGGGAGGGGAGGGGAGGAAAAATCTTTTAAAATTTTTCCTCCCTTCCTAAAATTTATGTGTTGCCAAACAATGAGAAATAATTAAAATCCTTCCCCCTCCCCTCCCCTCCAAATCCCTCGTACCAAACACATCCTAAATGATATATAAGAAAATGATTAAAAATAAAACAAAATTATATTGAACTCTTAAATCTATTTTTTTGGGACCAAAAAAATGATCTAAATTTTCTTCATTCAATCAATTTATTAGCAATAAACTAGCTTTATGGTAAAACCAAGGATATCCATCCAGTCCAGTCTAATCTTGCAAACAATTCCAACGCTTGTTGTGATTCGTACTTTGAAACGTGCTGATTCATAAGTCTTCGGTTGAAGTCATCATTTTGGCTTTTGAACTTTAATAAGGGGTGACTTTGGAGTTTATTATAATTAATTTCATTGTTAATTTTATCATAATAATTACTCCTCCGGTCCTAATTATAAGACCCAATTGATTTATTTGAGGAGATTAAGGAAGTAAGTTAAGTTGGTTATTTATAATAAATAAGTGTTGTCATTCCTAAAATATCCTTGCTAATTAAGTATATTGGTTAAAACTATCATTATTAGAAGGATTATCTTGGAAAAAAATACATAAATATAAGAGACAAAATGGATTGGGTCTTATAATTAGGACCAAATAAAAAGTCAAATTGGGTCTTATAATAAGGACCGGAGGAGTATCAAATAAGCGGTCACGTGAAAAGGTTCCTTCTTCCACTAAAATTCTCAAACAATGGATTGATCTGCTCGAATCTCCATCTCGTTCCATTCCATTATAAACTCTCAAACATACCCTAAAGTCACTTCTCTACTTATATATTGCGACAATTATGTAATTTGATATTACTACCTCATATTCTCAATACAACTTCTAATCCTTAATATAAAAATTAGTTGATTAATTTAAATAGATTAAAAAAATTAATTAAATTAGTTATTTGTATTGAATATGTGCTTTTTTTTTTCTTTCTAAAATATCCTTATTAATCAACTGTCTTGACTAGAACTATTATTATTACAAAGTTTGCCTTAGAAAAAAATAAATAAATATGATAGACAAAGTGGATCAGAGTTTTATATTTAGAATCAAAATAAAAGTCAAACGAGCTACTACTCTGATCCTAAATTACACTACAAAATGGGTCTTATATTTAGGACTAGATAAGTATTATATTAAGGACCAGGGATGGTATAAAAGCTAGTAGATTAATTTGGGTATATTAAGAAAATTAGTTAAATTAGTTATTCGTAATAAATAATTGTTGTCTTTTCTAAAATACCACTGTTAATCATGTACATTAGCTAGAATTATCATTTGATAGAACATTTAACATATGTAATTACTATAAAAACTATCTTAGAAAAAAAAAATAAATAGATATGATAAACAAAGTGGATTGAGATATTATATTTAGGATCAAAGGACTGGAGGTAATAGGATATGTTTTAAATAAAAATAATTATCCTAATTTATGTAGCTTTTTTAATGTACTCAAATAAATAACTTTTATACTAAGTATCAAAGTCTTCCCACTACACTCAATTACTCTTTTAGTCATATTTATAGGGAAGAGAGAGAAATTTTTTATCCTATTTATAAATTATATTATCAAATTTTTAATATGAATATACTACTTTATCTTTCATTTATTATCGTCTAAATTATTAGATTATTGGAAAGTGTATATCTTAAATAAAATTAAAATTAATTTTTTTTTTAAATTTTAAGATAAAGTTAACGAGGTTTAAAAGTTTTTTTTAAGTTGTGTTGAAACATGTTGAAAAACTTATATATAAAATTAAAGAAATATCATTTTTGTTTTAGACTTACATCTGTGTGTGTGTGTATTTCCTAAAGTTTCAATGCAGCAATTATTGATGGACAACTAGGCAATTAAATAATTAAGCTCAAAGTCATTGACCTTAATTAACAATGACACGTGGATTATTAGTATTAATCCTTCCGTTTTTGAATAGTGAAAAAAGAAAAAGGACGCACCTGAATGATAATTTTATTGTGAAAAATAACAAGTCATTACCACATCCGCCACACCTATTGGCTGTCAGACCCCACTGGCTTTTTGCGCACACGGCCCATTTTGGAAGGGTCAACTTGCTTTTCATCACCCTTTTTTTTTAAATTATCTTTACTTAATGTACTATTTTTATATAAATAAAATGAATATTTAAATGCATTTTTTAATATCTTTAATTATTGTCATTAAAAAATTATTAATCCATAGACTGGTAGTAGTACCTCACAATTACATGAGCTCACTTAGTTCGTCTTCTTCTTTTCAAATTCAACGTGGGACTCGCGTTCATATCTAAATAACCCCAAAGTCAGAGTGGGAAAAAAATAATTGAACATTAATTGAAACTATATGCTATACACTACCTCCTATTTTTAACATAAGAGTTAGTTTTATATTCAATTTGGTTTTAAAGATAAAACCTTGATCTACTTTATCTTTTATATTTATTTATTTTTAAGAGAGTCTTTATAGTAGTTGCACATGTTAAAGATTTCATCAAATGATAATTGTAGCTAATACACATGATTAGCAAGAAATTTTAAAAAAGACAACGCCTATTTATTACAAATAACTAATTTAAGTAATTTTCTTAATCTGTTCAAATCAATTAACTAATTTTTATATTAATGACTGAAGGTAGTATTATATAAGAGTTCTCACTTGTGTTTCAACCTCAAGTACGTAAGCTTATTGATAATATGTTTATACTTTGAATTAAGTATATAGATCATCAATATCAAAAGTGACAATAAAATATATGGATTAAGAATATATCAATACTAAAATACTGAGAATAAAATATATAGATCTACAATTTATATATAGAATAAGAATAGTATAACTTCTGTTAAACATAGTACGTACATCTATATTTTTATTATTAATTTTTAACCTCATATATATTTATAAAAATAGAACAAAGATATCTCCATATTATTAATGAATTCTTGTTTATGACAAGTGAAAGAAACAACCATAGTTACATAGTTAAATATCAAAACAG